TGATTTCGGTGCTTGCACAGTTGGCTCCAGTGGTCACCAAGGTTTACTGTCCTTAAGTTGTGGTCTTTAATACACATGCTTGCCAGGGGTTGCCCCTTAGCTGACACACGCAAGTTATGGTAGTGGTGTTCACTGGAGATCACAGCAGTGCTCATTCACGCTCACCAGAGGTCGTTCTTCCTAGCTGTTGAGTTGCTTACCTTTTTTTATGGTGTTGGCACACTCCTGGTTGTGATATATGGTTTGAAATCTCTTGTGGCACTGGGGATTGCAGAAAGTAGAGCTGCCAGCTCAAACAACAAAATTGCTAGTAATGCTTTCTGCATGTAGGACACTGGGAATTTGAACTGGTGACTGCATGTGTGTAAGGCAGGCACTTTAAGCACCTATGCTTTTTTCCCGTGGGCCAGAAGTAAGCCCATTTTTCTGTGTATATAGGAGAAAGGTCAGCTTTCATCATTTGTATGGGAGCTGGCTTGGGAAACTGCTCTTTTATAAGTAGGAAAACCCTTAAACTTATGGGGACCTTTTCAATTGAATGAGAAGAAAAATTCAGATACAGAAAAAGAATTAACTAAAGTACTAGGAGAAGTAGAAAGCGAATGGAATCCACAGTCCAAGAAAGCATCATTTGTGGATAGGGTGAAGTGTTATGTTCTCCCGTTAAGAGAGGGAAGATGGACAAACAGAGCAGAAAGCTTGGGAGAGACAGAGCTTGGAGACAAGGAGGTTCACACCATCCTTCATTCCAAGAGATAAAGGAGAGAGGAGACAAGGTCATATGCTGAGATGGGGGGTAGAAGAAATGGGGAAAGGTAGTGGCTGGTGAGCTCAAGGGGAACTGTGAAGATTTGGTACCAAGGACTTAAAGAGGTTAGAAATAGAAGTTTTCCATGACATTGTTTTTGCTATGTTCCTACTTAGCTCTCAGTGACCTGATAAAGATGTGGAGAGGGCAGAGAGAATTGGCAGAGTAAAGATAAAGGCGGGAAAAGGAATGTTGGGAAATGAGTGTACCAGTGAGAGTGAGGTTTCCATGACTAACAGAGGAGTGTGGGGAGGAGAGGATGAACACTGGACATGACTGATAGGCTCAAGTGGGGAGAAAAGTTAGAGGAGTGACTCCATTGTGAGGTTAAAAGGACATGAGTCACTCATAAAGTGGAAGCTCTCTCCTGAAAGACACGGGTGCCTGATGTCTTCATGCACATCCTCACATTGTTTGGGATTTCTTTCCCAGCAGTGTATCCCATGGGACCCTGGAGTCCAAGTTTCGATTTCTCTGAAATACATTCATTCTTACCTTTGTGATCCCTGAAACGCCACATGTTCTGTATTAAATCCAAGGATTTCAAGCATTTTCTTCCATTTGGTGAAAATATCTAAACAGTTTCTTTCATGGACCAATAGAAGCCTAATTTTCTAGAGTTGTCCATGTTCTTTAATTATCATTTTTTTTGCACGTGATTCTCTTTCATTTTCATAATTCAGTATTGAGATTATTGAGAGTAAGAATCACATCTTGCTGGTCTCTGTGACCTATTCCATGTGGCCTGCTGCTGCTGTGTGGTGATACACCCAAACATTAGTGTGAAGCTGAATTGGTTTACTGAGGATATCCATCTCTTAGCATTTGTCACTGTCACTGTCATCCCATTGTTCATAGATTTTTTTCAAGCGGGTGCCAGTAATGTCTCCATTCGTCCCAGCCCTAAGATTTTAGCAGTATATGGTATGCTGTGGCGTATTTGATATGCCAAAAACAGTAATAATAACGGGCCTCTTTGCCCTTACCCTGAAAGAGCCTCCAATACAAAAGTGTTGGGAAAGAGTAAGGTGACATTGCTAAAATCTCAGGGCTAAAATTTCTTAGCATTCAAACCAAAGAAATGCCAAGATTGCTATTAACCATGGAAAACATTTGCTTAAAGATTTACTGGTTCATTAAGTCGTTCAGCAAAATGTGTTGACAGTCTTCCTTGTGTCAGGCCATTATGCTAAATTCTGGGGATGAGGAGAGCCCCTCCTCCCATTTCTGGCACCAGGAATCCTATAGTCATGCAGTAGGCACAACTACACACAGGTAATTACAGCACAGTGTTGGGAGGAGGTGGAGAATTTGAGTGTGAATATGGGTGCAGAGTAGGCATAGAGTTTCTCAAGCTGGGACAGGGAAGGCTTGGCAAAAGTGCTGATATTTGAGTCAGGCCAAGGAAGACGGATAGATTCCTACAGATAAGGAAGGGGTAATGAACAGATTGGACACTGAGAAGAGTTCTCCAGTGGATTGTGGGAAGGAGAAGATGAACACTGAACATGGATGATAGGCTCAAAATGAAGAGAATGCTCTTGTTTTGGGAATTCTGGGGGTGTGGTGCCTTTGAAGTGTGGCAGGAATTGAGATTCAAAGGATAGGCCAGGATCTGAAGCAATAGTATAGGGGTAGTATGTTTGCCTTGCACATGGACAACCTGGATTTGATCCCTGGCATGCCATATTGTCCCCTAGCACCACCAGGACTTAATTCCTGAATGCAGAGTCAGGAGTAACCCCTGAATATTACCAGGCATGGCCCCAAACAAACAGAAGAAAAGAAAACAACAACAAAAATAACATTTATTTAAAATTAAAAAAAAGTAGGCCATTATCAGGCATAAGGTCAACCTAAGAAATGTCAGATCTCATTTCCAAATTTAGTCGCAGAAATATTTAACCAAAGAGACAGGAGGCCATAAAGTAAAACACAACCAACGAGCAGATCAGAGCTCCCTGCTGCTCAAAATCCTCTTGTCTGAGTTCCTGATATGCTGTGGGAGGGCTGTAGAGGAATCCTCAGAACTTGGAGGGTCATTTGGAAAGCATTGCTGTGGAAGTCAGGGAAAGGGTCGATCACTGCTCAAATTGGGCAGATGTGCTCTCTTAGACCAGTGGTTTATAAAGGCAGGGAGGGGCACAGGGGATTGTGGACATGGGAGAATCCAAGAGGCCTCAGCAGTGATGGGCAGAAGGAGATTTCAGTCTGGCCTGGGGTAGTGAGGAGCAGGGAGGATTTGGTGGGCTCGGCAAATCACTACTGCTCTTTGTTCCCACATGAAATCCATGAGGATTAGGAACTAGCTAGAGAAGATGACCACACACAGAAAGAATTGTCTAAAAAAAACCCTGTCACTGTCACTGTTCTCCCGTTGTTCATCGATTTGCTCGAGCAGGCACCAGTAACATTGCAAGACTTGTTATTGTGTTGGCATATTGAATACATCACGGGTAGCTTGCCAGGCTTTGCCGTGTGGGCAAGATACTCTCAGTAGCTTGCTGGGCTCTCTGAGAGGGGCGGAGGAATAAGCCAGTGTAAGCCACATGCAAGGCAAATGCCCTACCTGCTGTGCTGTCTATCACTCCACCCCCCAAACCCCAAACAAACAAAAAACAAAAGACTGGGAACTAGTGCCCTAAGGATTAGAGTACTTGGTGTGGTTCCAGTGCGGTCTGGATGATGGGAAAAGATCAGGAGGGACAGAGCAGAAGCCTGGTCTGTCTTCTGAATCTCCCTCCACTGAACTTCCAGGACATAAAGAGTATGGAGCCCTGATAAGAAAATGGGGAGCCAATAATTCTCCAAGTTTATAAAGTAACCTTGTTATACCACCCACCAAGGTGGAAAAATTGTAGAACCAAGTGCTGACAGAGATGGGGCAGAGCTGGTCTACACATGCTTTGCTGGAGGCAGTGTAGTTTGGAAAAATATTTTTAGAAAGTCATTTGCATACCACGGAATTAAAAAAATTGCTCAAACCACGGGGATTTTTTCCTAAATAAATAGTTCAAAAGAATGAAAGCCCATGTTTGTCTATCCAAATGTTAATGAATTAAATCACTAATTCAAAGTTCTACCTTGCACTTCAGATATTCCAGGAACTTTGCTGGGCAGAATTTGCTCGAGCGGGCCCAGTAACGTCTCCATTGGAGACTTTGTTGTTACTGTGTCTGGCATATCGAATACTCTCGGTAGCTTGCCGGGCTCTCAGAGAGGGGCGGAGGAATCGAACTCGGGTCAGCCATGTTGGCCTCTTGTAAGGCAAACGCCCTACCCGCTGTGCTATTGCTCCAGGTTGCTGGGCAGAATGAACATGTTTAATGTGACAGTACTAATAGTAGCTAATAGCAAAATGTGGTAAACAGGCCTGAATGATAAAAATGCCACAGTAGTTTAACACACAGTATGTGACATCCACATGCCAGATGACTATATTCTAACACTGTAAGACACAAGCTAACTTCAAAGGGCCTGCTTGACCATTTTAGTCAAGAGTTTGGATCTTACAGTCTGGGCTTGAATTCTGACTTCCAGGCTCTCCCACCTGGCCTTGGCAAGTTCATCAGAACCTGTAAAGTTGGGTGTAACAGTTCTTAACCACCTCGTCATGTCACATGATGACTGTCAAGATGAAATGAAATACAGTATAGAGTAGCACTGTAGCACTGCTCATCGATTTGCTAGAGCAGGCACCAGTAACATCTCCATTGTGAGATTTCTTGTTACTGTTTTTGGCATATCAAATATGCCACAGGGAGCTCGCTAGGCTCTGCCATGCAGGTGGGATACTCTCGGTATTTTGCCGGGCTCTCTGAGCAGGATGAAGGATCAAACCCGCTTTGGCTGCATGCAAGGCAAATGCCCTATCTGCTGTGCTATCGCTCCAGCCCAGTATACAAAGTACATAGCATAATTCCTAGGACACAGCAAGTGCTCATCAAGTGGAGGTTGTTTTGTTTTTTGTAATATGTAAAAGTATGGGTCAAATGGAAAAGACTAACAGAGTCTGTTCCCAGGGTATAATCATAGAAAATATGGTTGATAGTCTTAATTTTTTTATAGCATTGTCCTTAAACTTTTGAGGTCATAGATGACATATTTTTAAATGATAAGCAAAGCACTTGACACCTCTATTGAGCTGAGGGCAATCAGAATAATAAACAGTTCCTGTTCCTTCTCTTCCCAGCGGTGTTTGGCCAGCGTTTGGATGAGACCGTGGCCTATGAGCAGAAGTTTGGTCCCCATTTGGTGCCCATTCTGGTGGAGAAGTGTGCTGAGTTCATCCTGGAGCATGGCCTGCATGAGGAAGGCATCTTCCGTCTGCCTGGGCAGGACAACCTGGTGAAACAGCTGAGAGATGCTTTCGATGCAGGGGAGCGACCCTCCTTTGACAGGTACATTGTCCTCTCACTCTCCAATCTGCTTTGCTAGCCACAGGGGGTCCCTTTTTCCTGCTGAGCTGTTGGACTTGCATGGGCACTTCACAGAGCTCTCACCTGCAGCAGAAAGAGCTTTTTGTTTTGCTCCTAATTCAACCATGGGGAATCTAGAGCACAGTTAGGAGTGCTGACCATTTATGGAGAGAGGATGTGAGCAAGAATTAGAGCCCAGCTGGGCAATCAAGAGGCATAGGAGGGAAAGTACAAGAATAGGGAAGAAGAGGAACTTATAGCATCAGAACTGGCCATGTGGTCAGACTCAACATTGTGGAGAATACATTGTACTTCTCTTGAGGGGATCTGCTTCCCAGAAATGACCAGATCTAGGATTTCTGACTGCAAGGGTGAAATCACAAATTCTATTAGTTTGAGCCCTTGTGGAGGGAGTTCACACTGACATCTTGGTAGCCTGGCGTTCTGCCCAGGTTCCTCTATGGACACTGCCAAGCTTTGTTTGGGGCATATCAGATGGGGTGACATTTCATCCCAACATCCACCTCCAGCCCCACCTCTTTTTTTTCTTTTAGCCATGTATCTAAGTGTTTCTTCTCTGCTATGCTTGGCTAGCACCACCTCACCCTGGCATGCTACACTGCCTGTGGTGCAGTGCTCGCCCTGAATACTTGTATGCACTTGTCCCTTGGCAAGAAAGAGCCATTGTTCTTCCCAAATCAAGGCCCCACAAACCAAGACTTGGTATGACAGGCCTGAACTCTTAACCAATTTCCAAAGTTTTAAATTCACTAAGAACTTATTTAGGACTACGGAGCATGGGTGATACTGGGAAAATCATGAGAAAATCATGAGGAACTAACTGCCTTGCTCTCTGGATGTGCTCACTGTTCTGTTCCTTATCACCCACTTCAGCCACCAGACATGCCTGTGCTCCCTCTGAGGCATCTCTCATAGTCTGTGTTTACTTCCATAGACCTACTTTGGATCACCTTATGCATTTCTTTGCTCCTTTGTCACGCAATAGATTAATTGCTGAGGTTTCTATATTTTAATAGTAAGGCAACAGGTAGAGATGTTATTGAAACTAAGGCGAGCTATAGGCATCAAATTCAAGAATCTTTCAGTAGCACCACCAATCCTATGTCATTGTAGGCATGGATTCCATTAAGCTTGCCACCTTCACACTTAGTTTTCTTCTAGCACGTCTCATTAGGCTGAAGTTGATCAAAAGGTACAGATAAGTTATTACTAAGGCAATGTAAATAGTCAGAAAGAAAAGATTGGAGGGGTTCACCAGATACCTGCCCTAGGCTTGAGCTTATGCACCTGTCAACTTAATCTTGGGGTTTGGATATTTGGTGTGTGGGAGTTACCACACTTTGCCACGACGTTCTCATTCCTGAATTAAGGGCTGGAATTCTGCAAGATCTTCCAGGACTAACTAAAGGGTACACATAAACCTTGCGAATACATAAAAATCTTCTACACAGTTGAATACAAGAACCCCCAAATTGCCTAACCAGAGTGAAGAGAAACAAAGGAGCTATTATATGGTAGATTCTAGTGCAAGTGTATTTGGTGTGTATTAAATAAATAACTATGAACTTAAAATCTCTTTGTTGAATTTCCACTGGTATGAAATTTGCTGGGCCACAAAAACAATATACTTCTTATTCCTGTTTCAGTAGAAGCAGACATAGAGGCATGACACAGTGCTAAAAGGGAAGGAGAAACCCAGGCAGTTGAGGGTCTTGGCTGATCTCTGGTAGATCAGGTATTGAGTACAGCAGCCTCCTGAATCATGATATATTATCAGTCCTTGATCCTAAAGTACACTTAAGGATGTTGAAGGGATTGAAGGAATAGCAGACTCAGAAAAAATTGAAATGTAAACTTACATGGTAATAATGATTTTGGCGTCAGCCCTGTTAAAATGAGGGCAAAGACATAAATTTAGAGTAATTACTGTGTAACTTTCATTGTGTTCAGTGCCAAAATAAAACTAGATGATACAGCAATAATTTAAAATAGGGTTTTATTTTGACATCGTCTCGCAGCTTTACATGGTGCCCATGAGAATGGCATTTAAGCTAAATTTCAATAAATAAGGAGGGGAACTGGTCACTTTTAGTGGTGGTGGGAAATGGACACTGGTAGAGGGGGGCGTTTTGGACCATCGTATGACTGAAACCTGATCATGAAGAGCTTTTTAACTGTACATCTCATGGTGACTAGCACAGCGGTAGGGCGTTTGCCTTGCACACAGGCAATATGGGCGACCCGAGTTCGATTCCTCCGCCCCTCTCTGAGAGCCCGGCAAGCTACCGAGAGTATCTTGCCTGCACGGCAGAGCCTGGCAAGCCACCCGTGATGTATTCGATATGCCAAACACAGTAACAACAAAATCTCCAATGGAGACGTTACTGGGCCCGCTCAAGCAAATCGATGAAAAAAAATTTAAAAAAGAAAAAAGAAAAGGACTATCTGCAATCAGTCAATGAGTGGACAAAAGGGGCTTGAAGGAGTCACGTGACACTCAGTAAGGTTCAAGGAATTTGAGAGGCCAGTTGAATATGCGTGAGGAGAGTTTCCAGTCAAACTGATCAAGACCTTAAGAGGTGGAGATGGAGCAATAGCACTGCAGGTAGGGCGTTTGCCTTGCACACGGCCGACCCCAGTTCGATTCCCAGCATCCCATATGGTCCCCCTGAGCACCGCCAGGGGTAATTCCTGAGTGCAGAGCCAGGAGTAACTCCTGTGCATTGCTAGGTGTGACACAAAAAGCAAAAAAAAAAAAAAAAAAAAAAAAAAGACCTTAAGGGGCATTGCATTGCAGGCGCAGGTGGAGACTCCCATTCAGAACTTTAAGAGAGAGAGCTCCTGAAATTGGCCAGCTGGATGTCTTCTGCTGTCTTCTGCTATTTTCGGGGCAAACTTCTCATGTTTTGACAAGGACTTTGCCCAGAGATATTTTAAGGAAGTGACTCAGTAGGGGCAGGATTTCCAGAATTCCCAAGTAAAAGGGAGGCTTCCCACCCCCAATTTCCTGAGAGTCACAGTGGGGCATAGTAGGGCTTCATGCCAGTTCTCCTTCTTTTCAGCAGAGAATTCACAGGCACCAAACAGCTGTCAGAAGTCAGCTCTACCCCTGATTGTCAGAACAAATAAAAATGTGCATCAAATACTAAGGTAGAACTTTCCACTCAATCCCTCATTTCTGCTCCTCAAACACCTTCCTTCTTTCCAATCCTGGACCTTTGTGCCTGTTTATGTACTGCCCACCCCATGGCCCCTGGGGACTGCTGATTCTGTGTTTCCCCTCACTGACACTGAGGAGACACTCACATGGTCTGAACTCCTTAACATCACAGTTTTACCCCAAACTGCCAGGACTGCTCTTAAAAGTTTCAGAATGTCTCAGTATGAAATAATTGGTTCATTACTGAGGAACTTCAAGTATGTGACATGGTGGGGTACATTTTCTCTTACAGAGCTGTGAAATATATGCAGTCTATGTGTTATATGTTCTATAAACCAGGAGTCGGTTTACTTTTCTTATAAGGCTGCATAAAAAATAATTCCGGCTTTAGAGACCTGGTAGTCTCTGCCATAAGTACTTGAGGCTTCTCTCACAATAAGAAACTGACTGCATCTGCCTGATGGCTAGCAATGTGGAGCATTTTTTCATATGCCTTTTGGTCATTTGTATTTCTTTTTTGAGGAAACTTCTGTTCATTTCTTCTCCCCACTTTATTTCTTTTTTGAGGAAACTTCTGTTCATTTCTTCTCCCCATTTTTTGATGGAGTTGGAGGTTTTTTCTTGTATAATTCTACTAGTGTCTTGTATATCCTGGATATTAATCCTTTATCAGATGGGTATTGGGTAAATATTCTTTCCCATTCTGTGGGCTCTTTCTGTATTTTGGTCACTGTTTCTTTTGAGGTGCAGAAGCTTCTTAGTTTGATGTTGTCCCATTTGCTTCCACTTGCATGGTCAGTGCTGTTTCACCTTAAAGATGCCTTTAGCTTCAATATCTGCCTACATTTTCCTCTATGTATCTTATGGATTCATGTCTGATATTGAGGTCTTTAATCCACTTTGAACCACTTTTGTGCCTGGCATTAGACAGAGGTCAGAGTTCATTTTTTTGCAGGTAGCTATTCAGTTTTCCCAGCACCACTTGTTGAAGAGGCTTTCCTTGTTCCACTTCACATTTCTTGCTCCTTTGTCAAAGATTAAGTGTTCATATTTTGGGGTGTCTTGACAGAATATTCAACTCTATTCCATTGTTCTTCAGGTCTTTTTCTATTCCAATACCATACTATATTAATTACTACTGCTTTGCAGTACAGTTTGAAGTTGAGGGAGGTGATGCTACCCATCTCCTTTTCCCTAAGGATTGCTTTAGCTATTCGTGGGGATTTATTGTTCCATATGAATTTCAGAAGTGTTTTGTCTATTTCTTTGAAAAACTGTCATGGGTATCCTGATAGGGACCATATTACATTTGTATAGTGCTTTGGGCATTATTGCCATTTTGATAGTGTTGATCCTCCCTATCCATGAGCAGGGGATGTGTCTCCATTTCCTGTGTCCTCTTTTATTTTTTGAAGTAGTGTTTTGTAATTTTCCTTGTATAGGTCCTTTACCTCTTTGGTTAAGCTGATTCCGAGGTACTTGATTTTCTGAGGTACTATTGTGAATGGGATTGTTTTTTAATGGGATTGTCTCTTTCATTATTTGTATATAAGAAAGCCATGGACTTTTGGGCCTATACCTGTCTCTTAACTAGTGTACATTTCCCACCATTAATATCCCCAGTTTGTCCCCTCTCCCACCTGCCTCTATGGCAGGCACTTTCTCTCTTTCTCTCTCTCTCTCTCTCTCTCTCTCTCTCTCTCTCTCTGTTTCTCTCTCTCACTGTCTTTCCTTTTGACCTTATGGTTTGCAATGCAGATACTGAAAAGTTATCAGGTATATCCCTTTGCCTATTTTCAACACTCAGTTCCTGTTCAGAATGATCTCGTCTCAGTGCTTATAGATTGAATGAAAGGAGTGCTTATAGATTGAATGAAAGGAGTGCTTATAGATTGAATGAAAGGTCATATTGTTAAACCGCGCTGAGATCTCCCCAGAAGAATCTCAGGAAAACAAGTTGTGATGCAATAAGCAAAGGGTCTTTATTGGCTAGCTCAGCGGCTCATTGACACAGTGGCAGCCTTCTTGGAATGAACAGTCTGAGTCTCAAAGGTGAGGGGCTTTTATGCCTAACATGATACAACACAGACTTTTGGCTGCAATCTGAGGGCCTTTCGACTACTTGTACTTAACTGATTGGTTATAAGTTGGAGTTACATAAGGGTTGCATAAGAGTTACATAAGGATTATATAGGTGGGCTTCCCTACCTGCATCTGATTGGTACCCTTTAGTTGCCTCACCATGGCTATCTCACTTCGGGGAAATCATGACTCAATTCCAGGTATCTCCTCAATTCTAGGAATTCTGGAACCGAAACCTATGCCTAGCTTCTCTGGCTTCTTTATGAGCCTGGCATGGCTCTGCCTTTGCTTCTCTCTCATTATCAACATCTGAATGAGTCCCAGAACCATGGTAAACCCTCTGAAGGACTAGATCAATGGCCATGGAGATGAGGGACTTATCACTGGGTTATCTGACAATCTGAAGGCTAGAAAACACTGAATTATAAAGGACTAAAATGACTTGGAGGTAAATAAAAATAAAAAAAAATTTGGAAATAAAATTAATTTTGAAAAAAAAAATGACTTGGAGGAAGAAGAAAGCAATGAATACTAGACTAGTTAAACCAGGCTTAATGAGGAAGTAGACCTTAAATTTATACTTTAAGGAAATCGGGTAGAAGAGGTAAAAGAAGAAGTATTAGGGGTTTGTTATGAAAGAACAAATATTTAAAAATGTTTAATCTGATAATCTTTTTTTTTAAAAAAAAGGAAAAAAAAGAAAAGTGATTTCCTGCTAATTATCCTTTGAAACCTTGAATTCTTTTCAGTGGATCACAGAGGGAAGGAAAGAAGAGTTCTGGAATTTGACTTTCAAGGGCTATTCTTATTTATTTATTTATTTGCAGAGATACAGATGTGCACACAGTGGCCTCTCTGTTCAAGCTCTATCTCCGAGACCTACCAGAGCCTGTAGTTCCCTGGAGCCAGTATGAAGGGTTCCTGGTCTGTGGACAGCTCATGAATGCTGATGAGGCAAAGGTTAGTATCTCTTTAGAGATAGCTTGCTTCAACAGGAGGTGATGGTTACTGAACACTGTTCTGGTAAGCAACAGGGGTCCCTGGAACTTTTGGTGAGTTTGATGAGATTTTGTCTGAACTGTCAAGTGTGGTCACCATTACCCACACATAGCTTTAGGGCATTTGAAAATTTCAGAACGACCAAGAAACCAAATTTTTTTTTTTTGGTTTTTTGGTTGGTTGATTTGGGGGTCACATGTGGTAATGCTGAAAAGTAAAGTACTCCTAGTGGAGCCTGCTGGTGCCAGAGATGAAACTTCGGTTGCCCACATGCAAGACAAATGACCTACCTGTTGTACTATCCCTCTAGTCCCAAAATCAAATTATTAATTTTATTTTATTAAAATAGACACATATAGAAAGTAACAGGTGTACTTAATAAGACAAACTCAGACAACTTTCATAGTAACATCTGTGATTCTTGGTATTGGTTTGAGGAAGAAGGGATAAAATAAAGATGAGTGACATTTTCCAATTATTGATTCCAAAAATATCAATACTCTTATACACTGGAGTATTTTTAATATATTATATTTTCTCTCTTAAGAATACACACACACACACACACACACACACACACATATATATATATATATATATACATACGTCATGTGTCAAATATCTAGATTTCTTTAAGGGTCTTGTGATTTAAAATTGATCTTGGCACAAGAAAAGGGGAAATTTTGCATTTATCATTATGAAAGGAAGTGAATAATAGTGCTGCAACTAATATGCTGTAGACATTATGCTATTTTCCAACAGAAAAATTAAGTTGCGTGATCTGATACAGGGTACTTTGCTTATGATTTATATATTAGGGGAGTTGTAAAGAAGATAGGGAAATCTGAATTTAAGCAGATGGACCAGCTCACTTTTGTAAAGTAATAACACTTTACAGAATAAGGTTTAAAAGTTAGGAATAGGAAATAAATGTTTCAGGTGGCATCTCTTCTTGTGGTCCGAAGGACAGAAAAAGAGGTGATGACTGCTATTCTGACATTAAGACTCATACTGAAGTCCTCGCTTTAGTCTTGTTCCCCCCCCATTTTTTTGCTGTATCATCATTTCTAATTCTTCACAGTGTATATCTAGACTGAGCAGAGATAGCACGGCCTCCTCAATGAAGATGTGACGAGGTCTGGTCCCTACTGTCCTCAGAAAAGCAGGGATGAGGAGAAAGGGATCTCAGTGGAGCAAAGGGTCTGCACCTAGCAAATTCAGACTGTTTTCTCCAGAAGCGAAGAGATGGTCAGGTTGTATGAGTTGGAGTTCTAGCTTGAAGAGAGCCTGTGTTACTCAGGTGAACTGGTGCACATTTACAAATTCATGCCACGGAGAGTAACTACAGACCCTGAAGATAGCAAAGCTGGAAAGAACAGGGCAAGGCTTCTTGTTCACGCCTGTATGTACTTAAGGTACATGCATTCTTCATATACCTTGCTGGGCTCTCAGGAACACCACAGAGCTTGCACAGTACAGTCTCTCACTTGGCATTCAGCTTGCAGTCTGGCTTTGGTCAGCAGTTCTCTGAAAAGTCACTTTCTCAGAAGTGTTGTCCTTATTACTTTAAAGTAACTTGACGGAATTTGATTTTGATCCAAGTCATTTTTGAATTGTGACTTCTCAAGAATTCATGAAACAAAGTTATTCCAAGTCTAAGTACAACTAATCCTTGCCTTTCAGTAAATCTGAGTCCAAGAAAAAAAACCCTTATTATAGACAAATTGAAATGTATGTGTATTTATATATATGTATATATGCTGAAGAAGCTATGAGCCTTTTTGTATTTTTTTGAAACTCCCTAAGAATATATAGTTATTCTAAAAGTCTTTTGAAATTCTCCAAACTCTGTAAGAGAGTTGACTTACCAAATATTGTGTCTGCTCAGGTATGCTAGTTATGTTCCAGGTTTCATCCCTGGCGGTAAGCAGGCTTTTTAAAAATGGTGTTAGTATCTTTTAATACGTACAAATTACCAAATTAAGAAAATAATCTCTTCTCAGGCTCAGCAGGAGTTGATGAAACAGCTTTCCAGCCTTCCTCGAGACAACTACAACCTCTTGAGCTACATCTGCAGGTGAGTCTCCTACCTCTGCCCCATGGCTCCTAGCCCCACCCTGTGCCATAAAGCCTCCATGCAAACTCCTCAGAGAAGCTGGTTTGACCTTTGGAAGTTCAGCTCCAGTCAATAGCACTAATAAGGGTCTACAGGATAAATGTTTAAATTGAAGTGATTTGATTGATAACAGTAGATTTCCTTTAAAATTAACATCCATAGGTACTAACTTTTTTTTTCTTTTTGGGTCACATCTGGCTATGCTCAGGGGTTTCTCCTGGCTCTACACTCAGGAATTATTTCTGACAATGTTCGGGGGACCATATGGGATGCTGGGAATTGAACCCCAATCAGCTGCGCATAGAAACTATCTTATGTGTGCTTTTGCCAAGGCTGGACAGATTTGTCATTTCATATGGAATCTTTGGACAGAATATGTACTTAATGTAGTCCCATTTATGCGACTAGGGACAAGGAATTAGTCTCCATCCCTGAGATCTTACTGGTACCTCGAAGTGTTTCCTTCTGGCAACTTACTATTTTCTACTCTCGGATTCCCTGGCTTCCTGCAGGTTCCTACATGAAATCCAGCTGAACTGTGGTGTTAACAAGATGAGTGTGGATAATCTAGCTACTGTGATTGGAGTAAATCTCATCAGGTCGAAGATTGAAGATCCTGCAGTGATTATGAGAGGTAGGCTGGCCCCCTGCAGTAGCAGGTGCAAAGGAAGTGGCAACTACAATGCCTTATATTTTCACCTTTTCTGCAATTTCCAAGCATTTCAGCTGGTTATCTTGTCTAAAATGTTAACTAGACTGTGGGAGAGGAAGGGAAGGAATGATGTCCATTTTCAATAGCTCAGCAGAGCATAGAAGTTACAGACTTTTCCATTTACCATGCAGTCGGGTAGTGTAAAATGCATTTAGCTAATGTTTTTTAGCTTTTTATTAATTTTAATACTTTACTGTCAGAAGAGCAGAGGAGTTATGGTGCCTTCAGCCAACCCCAATTATATCCCTCGTAGATCATGGTCCCCAAGATATTACCAGGTACAACCCTGGAGGTCCCCAACTGCTGCCAGGAGGGTTCAGGTAATCCAGGTAATTCAGGATCTGAGCAGCACTGCATCATCAGCCCCTTTTTGAACTGCAGAACTGGTTGTAAAAGAATCCTCAGGGGGAGTTTCTGAATCTCCTGAACTCTGTTGGGGAGTACTAAAATAAATGAATAAATAAGTCAATGCTTTATTGAGATGACTTCTTTACCTTAAGCCCCCCCAAAAAATTAAGTCTGCTTATAAAGCTGTGTTGAAGTTCTCTGAGGCTATTAACTTACTTCAGTGAGCAAAAGTCTTGGCCTGGGCTTAGGGAGGCAATATACCTGGCATAAATGTCATAATTAGGCCCACTTGGGGCCTTCCTTTTCTCTCTTGTTCCATTTTCTATTTTCTGATCAATACTGATCCAGAGAATAGTGGTCTGCAAGTAATCTTTTGCAGCTCACACCCATATCATCCTTCTGCCCCATCCCTTTCACAGTGTTTTGCTCCAAGCAATTAAGAAAAATTCTGTGAGGAGCAAAACTCATTCTTTGGAGCCCTGTCATTTTATTTTACTTTATTTACTTATTTTTATCATTAAATACAATATTTAAAATGTCTATTCTCAGCCCTGTCATTTTATAGCTGAGTTTGGAGCCGTCTCATAAGGAGAGATTCCTTGGGTATGCTCACCTATTATCCCACTACTCTGGGTCTAACATTAAAAATTTCTTCCTTCTTTCTTTCAGGGACTCCTCAGATTCAAAGGGTGATGACAATGATGATCAGAGACCATGAGGTCCTCTTCCCTAAGTCCAAGGATGAACCTCTGTCCCCTCCTGCCCAGAAAAATGACCCCAAGAAACCTCCAGTAGCTCGTAGCTCTGTGGGCTGGGATGCCACTGAAGATCCTCCAATCTCTCGGACAGATAGCTTTAGTAACACCGTGAGTAGCATTCCTCCTCTGTCCAACTTCTCTAGTTCTCGGGTCAATCCATGTAGGACTTGCCCTGGGTTGACAAATTGGGGAGTTTTGGACTCTGCTCTAGCAGTGGCTTCAATGGGAAGGCTGACCCCACTTGTATGTATAAGGGAAGACTGACCCCTTTCAAAATGGAGTCTCTGTTGACATGTTGGAGGCATAGTTTGTAACATATACCATTTGCTCAGTGAGCAAGCAGTGGCATTCTCATTGAAGAAGAGAACCCCTTTCACACAGCCAAGGGATATTTACTAGGCTAGGGGGTGGGATCATATTATCCTTGTTTTCATAAAAGTCGTTAAAAGTTCCTGGTGAAAATCCAGAGAAAGCTGGTTTCCTGCTAACCCATGAAACGTGATTTCTTTCTCAGTGTATGTGATGTGTTCGTGTAGTATTTCTCATTCCTTGATAAGCTGTCTTGGCAATGTCAGGACCCTCATTTGTACTCAAGGGTTGGGGCTCATGTTCCCAGAGTTGAAAGCTCTGCAGACTCTGAAATGTAGATGATTTTAGTGTGATACATTACAAAGGTCAAATATTTTTATATATTTATAGAGAGAGATATTTTTAAAGAACATGTGGTCTGTATATAGCAACTTAATTTTTCATGTGAGACCAAGAAATGAATTTAAAAGTTCTGGTTGAGTAGAAATAGGTAATTGTTTCCCAGACTAGTAGTTCTGAGATAACTACATGTTTTTTATTATGTTTGTTTTTTTAAGGTAGATAGTGGTAGTGGCTGTGAGTTTTCTTAGTATCTGTCCTGCTATTTAGAAATGTTCACATTTGACACAGTGAAATTATTCTAGTGTTATTTGGTAATAGTTATTTTATGCTATTATTTCAGCTGTTTATTCAACTATGGGTAGGTGCTATGCTGGAAAATTTAAACAACCACCTTTGGGGGCTGTCACTTTATTCTCTAGGGCAGAATTTTTCTTTAATATTTTGTGGTTCATCTTTGTAGCATTTATGTAAACTTCATTTATTTCTTCAAAATAAACTTTGTAGCATTGTTGAGTCAGAGGGTAAACTGATTTATAATATGCATGTATTTTGATAAAAATTGTACATTGAAGTTTGTGCTACTTTGTGCGTATAACAGCAAAGCCTGAAAAAAACCTGTTTTCCTTAGTTTCACTAGTAGAGTATGTTGTCAGATGTTTGGTAGGTTGCCCAACCGATGGGTGAAAACTCTTTTCAAGTGACTTTAATGTTGATTTGAGTTTCTCTTACTATGAAAGAGTCCAAATATCTTTTATTATCTGTAAAGGCCTATGGCATTTTTCTTCTGTTCGCTGTCTTATCTTGGTTGTTAGTCTTTTTTTTCTGAATTTTTATGAACTTGTATATATTATGGATAATAGTCTATTGCCTATAATGGATTTTGTAAATATGTTTCCTAGTTCCTCATTTCCTTTTTGAGTCAGTTATGATTTTTTTCTGTTTAATTGGGGGGGTCATGAAAACCATATCGGTTGAATTTACTAAACTCTAATGGTGCCTGAATTTTGACTCATAGTCTAGAAAGCCCTCTTTGTTCTGAGGTTTGAAAAGCAACCTAGATGAGCACTCTTTTACCTGAAGAATTTATTTGAAAGCATCAATTTATTTATTTATTTTTTTCTTTTTGGGTCACACCTGGCGATGCACAGGGGTTACTCCTGGCTCATGCACTCAGGACTTACTCCTGGTGGTGCTCAGGGAACCATATGGGATATTGGGAATCAAACCTGGGTCGGCAGCATGCAAGGCAAATGCCCTATCTGCTGTGCTATCACTCCAGCCCCAAAAGCAAAAATTTTTTAAGTGCAATATCTTTTTTGGAAAAATGTCTCATAGAAGAAAGTCACTTTAAGTGACAAGTTGAGAGATGCCTTGGTGTGCAGCTAAGAGCTTTAAATCTGATCCTTTACTGGGGAATATGTCACATATAGGAAGAACCCAAATAACATTGGAGGCCCTTTTTTCCCTAGACCAGCGACTCAGACACAACCAGCCCCACTGGACAGCGGCCAAATGATGAATCTCTTGAAGAGGGCAGCACATCCCCCCTGGAAAAGCTAGGGGACTGGAAACTGCATTCACGGAAAAGGACTCAGACATTACCTAACCGGAAATGTTTCTTGATATCAGCTTTGCAAGGTGTCAACAGCAACAAAGTGGAAATCTTTAAAAATGAGTTCTGGTCTCCTTCCTCAGAGGTGAAGTCAGGGGAAGGACATAGGAGAACAATGTCTCAAGGTGTGTCCAACCTCTCTGACTCCCAGCGGACTTCTACCTATGATAACGTCCCAACCCTGCCAGAATCCCCTGGGAACAAAGCAGGAACTTCATCTTCCCATACGTGTGACTCCAAGAGAGATTCCCTTTCCAGCTGCAAATCTGAAACTGGGTCTGGAGAAAAGACCTGTGGGGAAGAGGATCTTGAGTCATTGCAAAGGATGGTCCAGGAGCTTCGAGAGGAAATAGAAACACAGAAGCAAACATATGAAAAACAGATTAAAACGTAAGTCACATCCTGAGGAACCCTGTGTAGCCACGTAACTTCCACCTTTAGAATAAATAGGGCTTGTTCTTATCTGCCACAGAATGTTGATTATAAAATTTACTTTAAAGAATTCAGTAATTTGTAGCAGAAAGCTTAATGAGGAAAAGGGTCAGAAAATGAGTGATAAGATCAGTAAATTAATAATAGCACAACCATTTATTGTATTAAAAAATTAAATTTTTAGCAGACATCACTTTAATTTTTCACAGTAGTAGTTATTCATGGATGTTGGTATCTTTTGTTTTGTTTTATTTTTTATTTGTTTGGGGGACACACCCAACTATGCTCAGGCTTTGTACTCCTGGCTCTGAACTTAGGGATCAATTATGACAGTGCATGGGGAACCATATGTAGTGCCAGGGATTGAACCAAGATTTACTAGGTACAAGGAAGCACCTTACTTGGTGCACTGTCTCAAGGTTATTTATGCTTAATTAATTTAGAGAATCTTAAGAAATGCTTGCTACTGCTTCTCACCGATTCCACAGATATTTACTGATCACCTGTTCTGTACCAGGCACTATCCCAACTATGCAGAATAGAGTGGAGCGAAAAAGGCAAAAGTCCCTATGCCTATAGAACCTTTTTCTAGTGGGGAAGGCAGAAAATACAAATAAGTAATTAGAAAATATGCCATGAAGAGAAATACTGCCGACAGGAGGTGAAGAGTTCTAATGAGAGGAGGTTCTAATGTTCACAAGCACAGTTAGATGAACTCACCAAGACAGAGCCTGGAAGCCAAAGACTGAAGGAAAAGAAGAAATCCTTGATATCACATGCATAGGGAGAGTAGGCCAGGTTGAGAGAATGAAAGGTGCAGAGGCCTTGGGAAGAGCAGGTCTAATGTGTTTATGCCCAGAAAGAGCAGGGGCTTAACTAGCAGCAGAGAGGGCAGCAAAGTGCAGGAGTGCAGGAGATAGACATACTTAAGACCTTGTTCATAAATGGATACAGAAATTATGAATAATTCTACTTGTCCAAATTTTTATTATCATCATTTTCAGTTGAACTTAAGCTATAGGCTGGAGGCAGCTGATGAGAAAGTGATTGCCACAATTTCATACAAAGCCCCGAGTCTTAGAACCAATTTTCTCTCTTGAATATGTGAAATTTTTAAAATCTCTTTCATACCAGTTTTTTCTTGGGAGGAAACCTCAATCCATATTAGCCCATAGTTGACACTAATCATGAGATGGTAGAATGTTAAGTTGGTGTGCTTTTTGAAGTGTGGGACATTTTTTTGTTTATCAGAACCAGGTATCTGAGCTCTCATCCTTGGTTGCTTACAAAATGCTGCTCATATAGATGTAAAATGTAGCTCACTTGTCTAAGAACATAAAATTGATAACTATAATTAAAACTGTAATTAAAATTGTAAGCACTGGGGGACTTCTGATCAGTGACCAATGCTATCCCTGAAAAGGTCCCCTGACTAGTAACACTGATGTGGGAGTCACTGAGGATGTAGGGGAAGGCCTGGCTGCTGTGGAGGCTGCCATTGCCCCCAAAGGAATAAAAGATGGGGTATGTGGGGGATGGAAGGGGGAAGCAGCATCTTGCAGAATAAAATAGAAATTTCCAGTCACTTGGTCTTCCCATGAACCTCAAATTCTCCCCTTTGGTTTAAAACAAATGACATTTACACTCATTCCTAGGGAGTTCAGCCTGGCAGAGAGATTGGGGTGGGTAGTGACTCCTAGCACCAGACTAGAATTTTAGCCAGTAGCAATGAAAATCCTGGGGATTTGCGGATTCAATAAATCCTTTACCGGGGATAAGAAGTGAGGCCAGGACTGCTGGTTCTGCTGCTCCCCAACAGGCAATTCCCACTACATCTCCAAATCTGGATGCCCAAGGGCACCTAATATTCTGTGCTTTCCATTGAGCAGGATGAGAAGGGTTCATCTTCTGGCAAGGGTGTAGGGAAACAGGAATATAGAGAGGGGACGCAGCAGTCATCATTTATTTTGGAGGGTGATGGGAGCTCTCAACAGGTGCTCAGGTGCCCTGGAGGCCCCTTCCAGTGATTCTCAGCCAACTGGTCTCAAGAACACATTGTTGCTCAGACCCTGTGATGGTGCTCTGGGGGTCACACATGAAGCTACTGAAAGGGGGCACACCCAGTGGTGCGTGAAGGACCATGTGATGCTGGGGATTGAACTGGAGTCAGCTACATGAAAGGCAAGCACCTACTTCCTGTCTATGTCTCTGGCCCCTGCTCAGTATTTCTATTGATCAGGACCACACAAGATGCCATGGAAAATAAATAAACCTACATCAGAGGTGCTCCTCTTTCAAAGATTTTTCTTTCTGATTTAAGATTTTTTTTAAAAAAAAAATCAATATAAAATGGCATGAAAAACTAACACAAGATGTCATAAAAAATGACTAAGGAAGGGGTCAAAAATTCAGATTTTCTGGCGAGTTCTCACTGTGAGGTTGGGAGGGGGGTGTGAAGTGAATTAAGAGATAGAGAAGGGAGATGATCCAGTGATGAGGAATAAAAATGCACAAAGAAAATTGTGAGTAAATCTGAAGAAAGAGTCTAAATAATATACTTTATTTAGACTAATATAAACAATATATCTTATGATATAAATAATATATAATTATAATATAAATAATATATATTTCATTCTTTTCTTCCTTGTAGCCTTGAGAAGGAAAATTATGATGTCTGGGCAAAGGTCGTGAGGCTTAATGAAGAGCTCGAGAAGGAGAAGAAGAAGTTTGAAGCCTTGGAAATCAGCCTCCGCAATGTGGAACGTTCCCGGGAAGATGTAGAAAGAAGGAACAAGGCATTGGAAGAGGAAGTCAAAGAATTTGTTAGATCAATGAAAGAACCCAAGACTGATGCATGAGAGTCCTACAGAAGCCAATGCCGTTCCTTATATTGGTACTAACCAATTATTGGGGAGCAAAATTACTCCCCAACAAGGAGAAAGCATTTAGTGGGAAAACATCCCATCTGATAGTAAATAAATGAATAGAGTTTTTAGGAAGATGAGTGGGAACATATGTGGACCTCTGTGACACAAACTGTGGCTGTTTTCAGAAGGGTACACTCTTCCTCAGTGGTCTCAGGCAAGTGGTATGGAACTGTCAAAGACTGAATGGAAACTGATAAGTGCGACACTGGAGGCAGGTGACATCTCAGGACCAGGCAACAGGCTGGCCCACCTAAGTCAGACTGAGGAGTCTGCTCCTCATTTTCTCTGCAGAACAATGTAAATTGCAAGTGGCCTCAGAGTATCTCTGAAGACTGGAACAGAAAACTACATGCAACACTTGAGTGCTCTCCTACCATGTGTCATGTTTTGGTAGGGGGCTGCACCTGCTGAAGCCAGTGTTCCTGTTGCCCCCTACCACTGAAGCACCTTCAAGCATGAGAAACTCAAAATTATTATGAGACTAAGACAAAAAAAAGCCATAAATATATTTATGAAAGTAAAGCCAATAAGAAAATCATATTCAAATAAAGCAAAGAAGGAAATGAAAAAATGGAACCATGCAATGCCTTTGTGATAATAAGTGAACTGCCCCTTCCTGGGGGCAAAGACACCCCTCTTCTTGGGCATGATTGATAAGCAGGACAAGGGCTAGATTGCACACCTTTCTTTTCTGATGTGATTTCCTGGTCATGGATTCAGATAATAATAATAATAATGATGTTAATGGTTTTCTATTTCTCCAGAGTGCATATGATCTCTTAGTATAAGGGGACACAAGGCCCAAAGTGACCAGCAGAGAGCCGACCCTCTCTGCTGCACTAAGCCCACCTGGTAGACTGCTGCTGAGACTCGAGGCTTTGTTAGGTAGGCATGGTGGAGGATTTTATGGCTCTGTCATCATTTTACTTAAGTGGTCTCAAGCTTTCTATGTTCCCCATCAGGTAGAAAATACCGGAACATTCACGTGTTCACGTAGGCGTATTTATTTATTTGTTGATTATGTTGCTGTACTACTGCATTGCTATATCATTCATCTCATAACGAAAACACAGGACATCATAATGAAGCAATAAAAACAAATATAAAAAGATGTTCTCAGGGAGTAAGGTTGTTGTCTTAAAGGGGCTGGAATAAATGCTTTTCTCAAACTCAATCCCTCGGACCTCACCTCTGGGTGTGGCACCACAAACAAACATGCTTTCAACTTTGGTGGCCACTGATAACTCAGCAGGTGTTACATCATTAGTTTCATCCCATGACTCCTAAATATCTACTAGAATTCTTGAAGCCACATGGCTTAACTCATTATTTGAAATTGATGATTACCATAGCACTGAATAGCACTGTCCTCCCGTTGTTCACCAATTTGCTCAGCAGGCACCAGTATCATCTCACAACAAATTGTGAGACTTGTTGTTACTGTTTTTGGCATATCGAATATGTCACGGGTAGCGTGCCAGGCTTTGCCATGCAGGCGCGATACTCTCGGTAGCTTGCTGGGCTCTCCAAGAGGGGCTGAGGAATCGAACAGGGGCTGCCCCGGGTTGGCTACATGCAAGGCCTACCCGCTGTGCTATCGCTCCAGCCCTGATGATTACCATAGTCAGAGTTTATCTTTTCTTGCTATATGAGTCTCCTTTCTTATTCTTTTTCTCTGTTGTTCTCTTTCTTTCTTGGTTTTCTTCACTTGGGTAATCCCCCTATCCCCATGCCAATGGCCCTGATGCATTTCTAACCATCTGAATAGTACAACAGGGGTTAGGATACTTAAGTCTTTAGCCTCCCTCCTTCATCCTCTTTCTGTTTCATGAAGACCACAATGATAGAGGGCAGGGAAAACACCTAGAACATTCATATAGAGGCTGACTTGCTGAAGATAGTAGTGGAAACTGATTTGGAACATTATTGAGTAAAGCAATAAAATATTTGACTTCCCGGCATTTACTTGTTTTGTGATGAAAGAACATCAAGCATGGAAATATTTCTTGTATGTCTACTTTGTGTTGATGAGTATCTGAAGTTCTGACAGGCTTTCCCCTGGTTTTCCCCTTTTCTTTCCTGGTTTTCCCCTGAGGCCCTTAAACAGACGTTTTGGGAGCTGAAAGAGTGTCATACCTGGAAGGAGCTGGCTTCAAAGGCAGCTTCAAAGAGGAGGTTCTGGGGTCACATTGGAGGTACACATCGTTGGGCCTAGCAGGTGTGGGAGGAATAGCTCAGGCTAAGTGGTAGGGGGAGGGGTAGTGTTTGAGTCCCAAGCTCTCTCGATCAGAGATGCCTCTTGTTCTATCCTTCCTACAGTACTAGGAAATAACAAAGAAGCCACTCTAGTAGCCACTAGAAGCTGGAGAGTCAACTGCTTTTCATGATCGAGAGGGAACCTGGCTTGCTTCCATTGCCTCATGCTCCTAGTCTCCCGTTCTTGGAAGGAGAGCACAAACAACATATTTTCCAGGATACCAGGCCACAACAACTCTAAGAAATGTCCAGGAAAGAAGATCTTGAGTCCATGCCCCTGTACCTTGTTCTTCAGAAGGCTGAGCTGTGTAACATGCCCAGATGTGTGATCCCTAGAACCAGGACTCAGAACCAGAAAATGGTTCCTGGCTTGCTCATGTCAGGGGTGCTTTTATGGACTCCAACATCACTTTCAAAGTTTATCCAAGAGAGAATTTTCACTAAATCTAACTTTTTTGGGACCTTATGCACAACCTCTCACCTTAGGCCCTCTTCTAGCTACACAGCTGCCGAGAACCTGAAAGTTCTACTGTATGCACTTTTAAAACCTCTCCCTCTCCCTCTTCCCGGCCAAAATCTAATTTTCCTTAACAGCCTGAAGCCTGGCACACACAGGGGCACTTTCTCTTAAGTTTAAAACAGATCTGATGGTTCCTCGCAAGTTTTTCCTCTGAATAGGACATTTTGTATTAAGTTTGTCCTCTAATAGGATATTTCCTATTAAATACAAGAGGACAATTGTATTAAATTTTGAATTATTTTGTATTAAATTTTGTTGGTGCATTGAGGCTGTTATATTATAAAACAGAGACTGGTGACTTCTAAAGAATACAAATAAATCCCTCACCTTTCTAGAGGTCATCAGCTAAAGATCAGAGTAGGAAAATGTCCCTCTTCTCATATCATAAGAAGGAGGGACTCTGGCAGGGGGTCTCATAAATCATTAATTTTATTCATGGGGTGTGCTGCAGTTATGATTTAGGCAGCTCTCAAAGTCCCCACATCCTAAAACCATCATTGTTAGCGGTTAGGTTTTCTGGCTATGTTGTTGATGGGGTGGGAGTCTAAATGTCTACAACACTTAGACAATAACAATTCTCTTCAATGAATTTCTATTACAGTCTAAGGCTAGAAGAGATGCAGTATAGCATTTCCAGTACAGTTTGTGGGCAAAATTCTTGTTAAGCATTAAGCGTTCTTGTTTTGATCAATTCTCTAACCCTGCTCTGAGTCCCATTCATACAGAAAAGCATACAGCAGGAAACACCAAGAGGACATCCCAGGCTCCAAGATACAGGAGGACAAGGTGTACCATGATGCAGCAGCCATTGTATTTCAGGGACTCGAGACAGGAGGATGTACATACACTGGAGTCATGTAAACTTCCACATTCCACCACTTCCTTTGCAGATACCATCAGTGGCCAGGCCCTGTGCTTGCCTGGAAAGAGAAGTCACTTAGAGAATACCTCTGCAATACAAAGGATCACCTTTATAATGTGTTGCACAAACACATCTGTCTGCAAGAGAAGGATGGGTGGATGGAGTCAAGGTTTTGATCCTGATGCCACTCCATGTATCCAGGCTGGCATCTGGTGGCAGGGGAGAGAACAGTGCCTGAAGGGTCCCTGGCTCAGCCTTGGGTGACTTTGGATAAGGAATAAACTGACAACAAAGATCTCAGCCCAACCAAGTGTGTGTGGAAGCAGCCACAAAGGAGTGCCAGTCTCTGAGTGCCATGGCTGAGTGAGCAGGGACCACACCCTATGCATGATCTCTGATGAATCCCCCAGTTGAAAATGGGTGAACATCACGGACAGTGCACTCCAGTCATTGAAACAACAGCAACAAAAACACAAAGGGAAAGGAAGAGAAGGATACAATTTTTAAAAATTTTATTGAATCACCATGAGATAGTTACAAGCTTTCATGTTTGGGTTACAATCACACAATGATCAAACACCCAGCCCTCCAAGAACATACCATATTTATTATTTTTTCATATTTATTATATTTTTAAAAAGTGATCAGAGAATGTCAACATGTGGGTACATTGTTACTTGACTTTTTCTCTGAGGCTTGAAAACTAAGAAACACAGTAAAGCAGCAAATAATGACAGCTTGGTGCTGGTCTAATCTAAGCTGTTCATTTAATAGGAAGGGAAACTGAGGTCCAGGGACATAAGTTGAATGGCCAGTGCTCATATGGAGGTGTTGAAGGGGGTTGAGAGGAGGTGACCCTGAGGGTTTCTATTACCCACTCTTCAGTGACTCTTAAGATTCTTGCCTTCTACCCATATTCTCTTCCATGGAGGGATAATAAAATTTTGAGTTAGAATCCAGAGTAAAATGCGTCACACCCTCTAAAGCATGCAGTGGATTTGTTTCTAGGAACTTAGGCTCTATTTGAAGTTATTTTAATTGCAGTCTTGCTAATCTGTAATAGCTTTATCAGAAACAACCCCCTCAAATGAAAGGACAAGAATAACCTCTAATAGCTTCCAGTCTCTTGCACGTTTCCTTTTTTTCTAGATCACACAGAGCTTAGAGAAACATTTTACTTGCAAGGTTACTTGTATATGTTACAGGATGTGAAGAAAGGGCACAGAACTCCCTCTGCACATGCCATTCTCTCCATATCTCCAACATGCTCCCTCCTCAGCCAGGAAGTTTTCAGGACCACATCTGTTGATAGTTAATGGAGGCTTCAATATATAGACCCAATTGGTGAAATTATTGGCAATTGGATATCGATATGACTTCCAGTCCCTCCATCCTGGGTAAATGATGAGACCATTTAATTTCATTTAAATTTGGACTCATTACTATTGCCTCATAATTTGTCTTAAATATTATCTCATCATTTACTTAGGGCTGGAGCGATAACACAGCAGGTAGGGCGTTTGCCTTGCACGCGGCTGACCCATGTTCGATTCCTCCACCCCTCTCGGAGTGCCTGGCAAGCTATCGAGAGTATCTTGCCTGCACGGCAAAGCCTGGCAAGCTACTCATGACGTATTCGATATGCCAAAAACAGTAACAACAAGTCTCACAATTTGTTGTGCCCATTTGAGCAAATTGATGAACAACGGGAGGACAGTGCTACAGGACAGGGCTACATTTACTTAAAGTAAATGATGAGACAACTGCTAGTTGTCTTTTTTCACCTGCTATTCCTATTTAAAGTGTTATGGGTTGGAGCAATAGCACAGCGGGTAGGGTGTTTGCCTTGCATGCGGCTGACCCAGGTTTGATTCCCAGCATCCCATATGGTCCCCTGAGTACTGCCAGGAGTAACTCCTGAGTGCAGAGCCAGGAGTAAGCCCTGTGCATTGCCGGGTGTGACCCAAAAAGCTAAAAAAAATAAAATAAAAAATAAAGTGTTATGTAAGTTTTTCATCTAATGTATTGTTTAATTTCTATCATTGAAATGTATGTGTGATGTTTTCGATTTCAATAGTGACAATCACTAGCATTTATTAGGTAACAAGTATTGCCTGTCACACTAGTCCAGTGCTGGATTTGTAGTCACCAAGTTAGTTCTCAAAAAGCCCCCAGAACTAGATAGAAGTACCCCCTTTAATAGTAAAGTAACTAGTTTCTGCTTTTGATCTTGCCTTTTGTTGTGATTCTGCAGATTTTCTCTGGTCCAAAGGAAAAATTTTTTGTTTTTTTGACAGCTTCAGGGAGCAGAGGATGTTGGGAGCACACTAGCACTTCAAAAAAATCCCCAGTGATTAAGTTAATTGCTTGTCTGGCAAATTAACTTTTTGCAAGTTAG